GAAAAGAAAAAAAAAAAAAAAAGAAAGAAAGAAAAAGAAAAACCTAACTGGTATGAACTCTCTGCTGATAGAGAGGTACACACCTGCCTTTCGTTTCTCCATGGCCAATAGCTTTGCTCATCCTAGAAGCAGAATCCAGACAAAAATGGTATTTCAGGTATTGATTAAAAACAGGCATTAAAAACACGTTCAAAATGAAGTGCATCCAGGCAACTGTTTTGACCTGAAGAGTGCAACCATAAAACTGCTGGAACGTCTTTGGGAATGATTTTGTCACTTTGGAAACAGTCAGAAAGCAGTGTTCCCACAGACCTCCCAAAGACAGAGAGAGAGAGCCCAGCCTTTGGATTGGGTTGCAATCCTTTCCAAAGGCCAGAAAGACCTGGAAGAACATGCAGCTGCATCCTGCACACCTTGGGCTGCATAAGCTGCAAAAATTTGGTTTTGCCTCGATCATTGTCCTTGGGCATCAGTCTTGGGCTGACAGTGCTGGTGCTAGCTTCGAGCACTGAAAAGCTGGTGGTTGCACAGAGCAGAAATCTAACAGAGGTGGTAAAATCATGGCTGTTAGTGGGAGAGATCCAGGGGAGTTTAAAAATGTGTTGTTATGCGGTATCATTCTCACCAGGCAATACACATTGTCCATATGCCTGGAGATGGAGAATGTTCCTCAGCCATGAGAGATCATGGTCCTGCTGCTGTGTAGGAGAAATGGGTGATTTCACTCCATATACCAACAATGATACAGACCTGAGGCATCCCCAAAAAAATCAGATATCCTCCGGGAAGAAGTTACCCATGAGTTGGAGGATGCACATGTTTAATAACACTAGCAACTCAAAGGTTTCTCCTGTCTCTTCAAGGGGTTCCAGTCCCATGTACCCTGGTCTAGATTTCAGTATGATTCAAGTGAAGCTCAAACCTTGGTCAAGATATGTAGGGGACTGGATGGCTGCATTTTATATCTCTGTCACACCAGGGAGTTTTATTGGAAAGGCACTAAAATCTGTTTCTCTCTTGCCCTCGCTAATAAAATGAACTTGGGCCCAAGACTAGGTAAAAAATGTTTATAGCAAAAATTTTTAGTATCTGATTTTGAAAAGAGCAGTTAATAGGAACTTCAGCTGCTGAGCCCTGTTAAAATCAGATCTCCTCATGGAAAAGTCTAGCCAGAACTTCTCAAAATTTGGCCAGTTATCCAGGTTCTAGAGGGAAGCTATTAAAATAGTTTTTTAAAAATGTAACCCAGTAAGTACTGTTGGGGGTGTCTGCTTGGTGACAGTATTTTAAAGACCTCATCAGTAAATTGCAAAGTACCAGGAAAAATGATGGCCCTTTAATTTTTGATCTAATCATCAGCTTTTATTTACATGATCTACTAGTTAGCTCCACTGTATTGAAGCTGACAGACTGTCCAAGTTACTTTAGTCCCTAATTACTGAAATGAAGCAAGCACCTCTGTTGAATGATGTGTATTTTTTCCTGTCACCATAAAAGAGACCCCCCTCCTGGTGATTTAATCAGACCCATGTCCTTTCTGTAAATAATGCTTAATCATCTTAGTCAACCTCATTTTTATAATGGCCCCTTTCACTGGAGCTCAGAAAGATGTTAATCCACAATCACACACACACAAAAGCATTGTTCTTTAAGACCAGAAGATACTTGTATTCTTTTATTTACTAGGAATTATTTTCAAGACCAGATTAAAGGAGTGAGTCATGGAAGAGGTTGGGGATTTTTTCCCAAGCTCTCCCTTATTTCCAGCCAAATGTTAATCTGATGGGCTTGTACCTGCTGGCAATAGCCTGTGGTGGCACTTCATTGACTCCATAACATACATTAAACCATGGAGACCTACTAATTCCATGGTCAAGTGAGTTGGCAGCAGTTTCTCAAAGTGCTTTCACTGTGTTAATAAGGAAGAAAAAAATGATTAGAAAACCTAGAAACTCTTCTTAGCTCTTGCATTTTTCAGTAAGAACATCGGTGGTACGCTTTCCCCAAACAGCTGTGTGGTTTTGTATCACTTACCTTCACCCAAAAGGAAATCCAAACCGAGCTAGAGATGCTCACGTTTAAAAACTTATCCCACCACTCTTCTGAAGTTTGCCTCTGCACACCCAAAGTGGCAGTGCTGATCTGCTCTCACAGAAATCCTCAGTCAGATGCTTTTCCTAGTCCTCCAGAGAAGCAGCCCATACCTTTTAGTAAGGCTATTACATTGGCTTAGACGTGGACAGATCTCTTTTTATTTTTGTTTACAAATTTTAGATGCAGTAGTGTGGGGAAGTACAAATATAATTGACTTTTTAAAAGCTTGATCAATTCATATAAAACCTTAGTATTATGAAACAAATAAAAGAAGAACCAGTTAATGTTCTTTTATAGCTCTAAAATGTATCACGGTTGAAACTGCATTTAAATAATAAGAATTTCCTCTCAAAATCCTATGATTAGGTTTTGGCCATACAGCCAAAGTGAGATTGTTATAACACAAGCCACATGGCACAACACTATCGGGTTTCATCCATAGGGAGAAGAATAATCTTTGCTGTAACATAGTTATTCCAATAAAACGCGTTTTTCTTTATGTGCTAACGTGAAATGGAAAGCTATAATGAAAAGAAAAAAAAAATAATTGAAAAGCCATGAAGATCAGAGTGGGCATAGAAGATATGTAAAGCTGATTTAAAAGATTAGGAAGGACATTGGAACAGAAATGTTCCACAAATTCGTGGAAACGTTAACAAAATCTGGAGGCAAAAGGGAATAACTCGGTCTCTCAATGTTAGAAATGTAATTCAGTTTGGGAAACTCCATAAGAGATTTTCCCTTGCAAGAGGGTTTTTCTGCATTTGCTTTTTACCACGACATCCAGGGACATCATTTCCAGAGCAGACACAGATAGAAGATAGCTCAGGTGGAAAATATGTATCAGGTAGATGTGAAGTGTTCAGTAAGAAAACAAATGTCACTCTCTGGAGGTTTTCTCTCTGACTAGGAGGCATCTGGTATGGGATCCCTCAGAGGACTGTGCAAGAAGACCCAGACAGTGGTCACAGAAACGGTAATGGTGCCTCAACCTTACAGGGACTCCTCTGCATCCCTCGCCACCACTGACCCACCAAATATCCCTTTCTGGAAAATCAGGTCACCAATCCAGAGTAAAAGCTAAAAAGGGAAATGGGAAGAGTCAAGTTATTAACTTTATTTATATTCACAGCTTGAAATAATTTCCCCTTGACATTTTTAAAGCACATATCCCAACTCGTGTTTGGCTGCTTTTCGTAGATCAATATGACTAAGGGAACACATTTCAGATCCTCTCAACATTGGCCCAGGTTTTACCACCCACTCCAAGAGGCTGCAAAGCCAACCCTCACTCTGGAGCTCTAACACACCAACACTGTTGGTCTGTCCCAGTTATTAGGTGAGTTACTGAACTCTCCAAACAAGCACTGGGACAACCCTGGCCATTCGAGAGGACAGCTTTTTCTCTAGTTGCCTCTAGCAAACCAGAAACAGGCTGGGAAGCCATAAGATAAATTCCGTGTTGTCTTCCTTGGTATTTTGAGGTCTCAGAGTATTTCCCTGGGGCTTGTATTTTTCTTCCAAATTCTGTGGTGAGATATGAACACACATTATACAGCCAAAACTCATGTAAAATGAGTCTAAGAGATGTAAAGGAATGATCTTAATGTCAGGAATTGATGGAAGATGCAAGGCTGCAACAAAGACTCTGTGGCTCTCAGCTCTTCTCTGAAATGATTACAACAGACTTAAACTTAGAGGAAGTGCCCTGGCTTAGATAGTTCAAATACACCTGGGCAGGGATTTGACTCCCAGAGAAAATCTGAAATTTCCTCTTTTAACTGACAGTGCATGTGTCACTAAAGACGGCTGCACAAATTGGGAAGCTTCTTGTTTTGTACAGCTGTACCATGCAGGCTTTTCCATTCCCAGATCCAAACCTGGTTTTTGGAGACATCATGACACCGGGACTGGCTAACAGCCAGAAAAGTGACTGAATGAAGAGAAGCCAGAGGCCATTGCACCCTCTGCATGCAGGCTCCCAGGTGGACATCTCCATCAAACACACTCAATTTGCAAATGAAGACAAAACATTTTCTCATCATTCATTCCATCTTTGCAAGTACAACCTGCTATCTGCATACAATGCTGTGGTCCTTTGCTCCATAATTTCCAGCAACTTAAAAACCACCACAAAAAAAAGATGAATCATAAGAGAGGAAGTGCCTGCTGCACAGAGCAGAGTGTTAGCAGGGGGTTGGTGTAGCCGCAGTAATTCTCAAAATCAGAATCACAGATATGTTTTGCTGCCACAATAGTCTTGCAGTCATGCAGGACTGCAGAGTTTCTGCTATGATATTTCATTGCATTGGTATTAGGGTTTGTAAGTCTTACGTATTTCTCATCCTAAGCAAGAGAAGGCAGTCACCTGTTTATACACACAAACAGATGCGTGGCTCCTGCAAACACTCTGCCTCCCCAGAAATCATCCCCATGTCGTTCTGCTGATTATACCTCTCATGATAAGATCTACAAAACTTCCAAAAGTTGTGCTGACATAGCAATAATCTGGAAATATCCCTCTGGAGGCACCTATTGATTGTTGCTGTGGGTGGATTATACAAGGAATCTATCTTAATTACCAGAAACTATCTCCTTGGAATGGCCAGCAATGTAGCAAAAATGATACACGAGGAGATCCATTACTCTCAGGGAAAGGTCAATCCAATAGGATGTATGTTTGCATTCAGGTCAAGTGATGGCTAGTCCATCACCACACTCCGCTCTCACTGCCCTGTCAGCTCTGTAATGGCTTCACCTCTCCTCCCTACCTCTCACCTCCCTCTCCCTGGTGCCAGACTGATAACACGAATTAGGGCAACTGGAGCTAACGGGGCACAGCTGTATTATCACAGATGATAAACAGTGTCAAAGACAATTACGGGAGCTACAGAGAGAGGAGGGACCTTGCAAACCTGTCCTTTGCTTCCTGTGTTGTGGGAGAGCACCTAGCCTGTAGTGAAAGCAGAAAGGGGAGGTGGAAGAAGGGTGTTTTTTCTGCCTCTCCCTCCATGAGGAACTCTCTCCCCTTGAAGAGTATCTCTGCCCTGCTGAAAACCCAGTGCTGAGAAGGTTTTGCTGCTCCAGCAGGTGGCCTAGCAGAGGGACAGAGGCTATAAAGAGTGCTCTAAAGGACTATTTTCTCCCCGTATCCATGCTCCAAAGGACGATCTTCCTCCACAGATCCACACAGGTAACCCAGGAGGGCTGGTGTCCTCTTCCAGTGCCTACCTGACCAGAAGTGACTGCCCACCTGCCTGCTCCGGTCTCTGACACTAAGAAAAGTTTTGCTCAACCCCCTGCACAACGTCCAGTGGTGTTGGGGATCATTCAGCTGCCACCCAGAGTCCTACAGTGTGAGTAAACTGAGGTTTCTGGAGGCTTATCGATTGTCTGGATTTGGGTGGCTTTTTCCACTGAAAAAGCCCATGCCTCTCCCCAGATCTCACACCCACAGGTGTTTTTAAGTTCCCCTAGCTAGAACCAAAATGCATTTGCTGGAGAGCAACAGGTGTACCTACCCCAAGGTTGCAGGTCTTTTGGCTGCACCAGTTCCCAAATTAAAACATTAAAATATATAGATTCAATCAAAAATTTCAGACCAAATTTCCACATTTCTCAAGGCTCAGTTAATATTTTAGGCATGAGAGGAAAACCCATTGAAGTGAACTAACCACTGGCTTTCTGCAAAGCCACACTTGGGCTTCTCCTTTGCCATGGACAACAACCTGAGCACATCTTCAGGGTCGCTATCCCCTTTTTTTACACCCTTTCCCCACATGCCATTGGTATTTCATGAAATAAATAAATAAATTACTCAGTCTGGAGTTCAAGGCCAAAAAGACTTTGTGAAACTGTTTCCTTCCCCCTGCTCCTTAACAACACCTTTCCCATCACAACCCTCCCAAACTTTTCCAGATCCAGCCCAGCAACTCTTTCTAGGTAACTAGCGTGGGTGTGCTCCAACACTCTTAATGATGGCCTCATCTGGAATTGCTTTATTAATATTTATTAAGTGATCACTAGCTGCAGGTACATTCTTTAATAACTTATTTATAAAGCACGCTATAAAACACATTAAAAATACATTCTTTAACAGATAATGCCGTAACAAGATGTTGTAAAACAAACCATAAAATGTAAATGACGACTGTACCTGAACTGAAAATACACTGGAGGCTAGAAAAAGAAGGGAGAGAGGAAAGGAAGCCATAGCCAGCATGCCTGAAAACCAGCAGTACCTTGTGGTGGAGCACAGGATTCATCTGGGTGACATTTCAAAGGATAAATACAGAGCACTGGCCTGTTTTGACCTGAGGCTACAGGTGAGCAGAGGGGAACATGGAGTGGCTGTAAAAATATTCCTAGTCTGGGTGTGAAAGGGCTTGTGCTGCTATGAGCAGGTGGTGGTGGTGTCCCTGGGGTCCCTGCAGCCCCCCACTCCCTGCACCCCTGCTCCCTTTGCTTTCCAGGGATGCCTCTGCCGCCCCTTCTTCCCTCTCCTCTGTACCCTCCTCCTACAGCAAGGAAATCTCAATTTTTTAAACCTAGGAAAACCCAGGCAGCTGGCTGGTGGGGTTTTCCATCTGAGCTGGTTCCCACAAGAGCAAAAAGGGGAAAAGAGTAAAATTGGCACATCCATGGACTAGTTCCCAGGAGTTGGAGGTGGAAAATCCTGCCCACCACAGCAGCCCCAATTCCAGCCCTTTTGCTGTCCCTGTTCATACCCTTCCAGGGGTATCCACTGCTTCAGTCTTACCAGGTACAACTCTCCTAATGCTCCTGAGTGTCCTACCCAGAGAGAGGAGCATTGCAAAAAAATCATTAGTAACCATGTGCAATTGTTAATGAATTCTTATTGACAAGGCTAAAAGTCAACATGAACAGAAACTCCCCTTTTTAGCCTGGCGTTGCAAAATAGTAGTGAACAAGTTCATGTTTGTGCTTATGTTCATAAACCAGACATGATCTCTGAGGTTTGTGCACTCAGAGGTGGGAGGAATGCCAGGCAACCTGCCCCAGCTCAGCCTGGATTTCACCTGAAAAAGAGAAGGAGAAGGAGAAGGAGAAGGAGAAGGAGAAGAGAAGGAGAAGTAGAAGGATAAGAAGGAGAAGGAGAAGGAGAAGGAGAAGGAGAAGAAGAGAAGAAGGAGAGGAGAAGGAGAATGAGAAAGGAGAAGTAGAATTAAACGAAGAGAAGAAGATCTCCTGAGACGATCAGATAAGATATAGCCATAAGAATAGAGACTCGCCGATCCCAGAGCCGATACGCCGCGCCTTCACTCCTCTCGCGCATCACTCGGCGCCGCGCCTCGCTCTCCGCGCACTCGCCGAGAAGAGAAGAGAAGGAAATTACTTGTGGGAAAAAATAATAATAAAAAAAAATTATTCCCAGGCACACCCTGAAGTTGACCTGGACAGGATGTTATCTGACCCCCAATTATTTTTTTCTCCAATTTTTACCTGGGTCCCGGAGGACTTTCCATTTTTTGTGAAATCATCCTCAATTCAGGACACTTCGCTCTCTTTATTTCCTCCTTCCCAGAGCATTAAAACCTCTCTCCCAGCCTTCTCCCCTTCCCTCTCCCCCCTCCTCCTGCGGCGAGCTAAAATGGCAAGACTAATTTCATTTCTTTTGCTTTAGTTTGTCTATCTGTGACAACCCTTTTTATGCATTTAATTCATTCTCAATTTCTCATAATCAGGCGAAAGGTGTCCCCTAAGGTTAGGAGAGAGCTTGTCAAAAAGGCAGCGTAAATTTGCAGAGGTAATCACCAGTCTATCTCCTCTCCCCACTGCCCGTGGAACTATTAACTAATATCACTGTCTAATCTTTTTTGTACTTATTTATTTTGCAGCGAGAAACTAGTGTTATAAACACCCCTACTGTCAAAACTTGTCATCCTCATTACCTCAAGGCGGGCTCCATCTCAGTTATTCTAATTTCATAGTTTCTCGAATTTACAGCCGCTGGAAATTGAGTACAAAATCCATTATCATTTGTATATTTTAATTATGCAAATGAGGCAGCTCAGCTGCTCTGGCCGGGACCTGCAGGGATGCCTAACTTCAGTCTGGGTGATTACAATTTATCCAGTCGAGTCACTTTAATTGTAACAAGCTAATTACATTGTTCCATTTGGCTTTAACAAAAGAAAGGAGACGAAGATGCTTAATGGCAAGGGCCCGGCGTTGCGCTGCCTCTCCCGGCGAGAGCAAGGGGTGAGGGGGACCCGGAGGTTTTGGGGACCCACCCCGGGCACGGTGGGATGGGAGGGAGGGCAGGAGGTGCTGGACGTTGGGGCAGATCTGAGCAGCAGGGGAATTTGGGGAGGGGATGTTCCCCATTCCCAGCCATCACTGGATGGGAGCAAACTGTCCTCGATATGCAGGGGGTGCTGGGGGAGCTCAGCACCATGCCCCTGCTCCTCCAGCCCATCCTCTCCCCACTGGGAGTCTTACAGAGACATATCCCTGCCTCAGCCGAGGTCTCAAGGACTGCTGGCTAAGTCCCCAGGTGCCCACTTTTTATCTCCTTTGTAAGAAATATTATCTGCATTTATAGGCATTTCATTCAGGTACAGAAAAAAAAAAAAATTAAAAGAAAATCTTACCACCTCCAGCAGCCCAGATCAGCAATTACTTTCTCAGACCCACAATAAATGCTCAGTACCTAAATTAAATACCCAGGAGAGATGTAATATGGCTGCCCACACCTTCAAGGAGGCTGTTAATAAATAATTACTTCTCTTGCACTGGCCATCTGAGGATCTCAAAACCTTTTGCAAGCTTTAATGAATGAAGCCTCGGTAAAGCAAGGCGTATCCTTATCAGCTCTTTATAAATGGGGAACAAAGGTGCAGAGAGGCAGAGCAGCTGTAGGTTTTCAAGGTTAGAGGTACTTGTTTCAGCCGGACAGCTCCTGCTCCTTCTTATATCCGTGTGCTGAAGCTTGAAGACCACCCTGGAGATCAGATCCCATCCCCAGTCAGCACAGCTCTTCCAGGCAGGTCCCACGGTGTCATGCCGTGACACTGGCCATCAGTTTCCTCCAAGCCTCCTTACCCAGAGGAAGGACTGCTCATCAGGTACTGATTGTGGGGAGGGTGTCTCGCCCAAGGCTGGTCTGAGGTCTGGAATGAAGAAGGCGTTGTGCAAGGGAAGGAAAGGACAACTGCATGGAGCTGGGTGCCAAGCCCTGGCTAGATGCTGGGGGCAGAGAGAACACATTTAAGGACAGCACCTCAACCAACGAGCAAAAAAATGTTGAATGTTGTGCATGTGGGATGTGCAATTCATTTGTGAAAATTGGTCATGTTGGCCTCAAAAACACCCCAAGTAGGGAGCCTGATGAGGCCTCTCTCCCCGCTGGCAAAGCCATTTCAGCCTTGCAGCACATGAGCCGTGCTGCCCACGTGTGACAGCGAGCTCTGTGCCTTCCTTGCATCAGTCCTCAGCGCCACCAGGAATCAGGACCACCACCTCTAATGACAGCCTCCACCGTGAGACCTTCAGCATCTCTGCAGAAGCATGCAGAAGGGTTTGGCCTCTAATTCGGATGCTCGCACCTACCTGCCCTTGGATAAACACCTCCCGTCTTCAAAATATCTGCCTGACGACTGCGGGATTAACCGGAGAAGAGAATAATGATTCCTTGGCAGGGAAGAGACGAAAGAACCACATAGATCTCTTCCCTCTCCAGTTGCTAGGGATGTGCATTATTATTGTTATTGTTATTTCCTTTGATACACAGCATTCAATTAATTTTCTTCGACACACGTTTACGGCGCTCCAAGGAGCGTTCCAGGAGCGCTGCTTTTCCAGCACATCCAGTTCGCCAGCATCCTTTGTGCCAGTTCGGGTGCTTTGGAGGGGGGAGGAGGGGAAGAGCAGAGGAAAGAGGGGCCATCCTTCCCAAAGAAGCACTTGCCCTTGGCCACGTGCACAGATGCCGAGGCGAGGGAAGCCTGGGCGCTGCTCACCGTATCCCCAGGTGAGCGTTCACGGGGTCCCGTTCAATAAAGCAGCAGTAACCACCATCTTGCTGCATTCCCTTGCCAGCCACCAAACCATGGCAGGGAAAGGAAATTGAACCCATTAAACACACACACAGATGCCTCTGTGCCGTTGCCCTGCTCAGGAGGGGAGGAAGGAGCCTCTATTAATTTTTTTTTTCCTATTGTGCCTTTACCAAATGCAGTCATTTAATCATTAAAAAGAGGAGGGAGAGAGCGAAAAAAATAAAAAATTAAAAAATAATAATAAAAAAAGCGTGATGAGGAGCGGCAGCAGCTAATGTAATATCCATGCAGTGAGTCTCCAGGAACGAGGCACAGAAATTGACTGTCACTCCTGTACGACACCAGGTGCTGCTGGTGCCCACGCTCACCACAAGATGTCTGTGCATCCCCCCGCTCTCCCCAGCCCAGAGGCTTCCTCCTTCTTCCAGTGTTTGGGTGCCAAAATATTTGACTCAGAGCACCCTGCTCAGTGTATAGAAGCCCTTTCAGGTGCATCTCCTCCCCGATGTGGCTCTGCAGCAGTCTGTGCAGCAGTGCTGCCTTGCCCTAGACGGCTGATTTCAGGTTGGAAGCCTGGACCCCCCGTGTTTTTTAAGCATCAAGGCTCTCTAGTGTTGACAAACCACATTATCCTTACACTGTCACAGCAATTTCAGCAATGGGCTTCACAAGTCCAGTGGGGACCTGCTGATGGTCCTCCTGGCAGCGGTGGGCTAAGGAGATGCCACCCCTTACCTTTACAGTGCATCCCCACCACTTGCAAAGCCCACCTTGGCCAGGTTCTCTTAAGATGCCAGGTTTCAGGTGATGTTCCCAAATGTCTGTATCAGACCTGTGTGGTGAGCTGGCCAGCATAATGGGTTAAGCACAAATAAAAGCACAAGAGCACTGCTGGGTCACACCAAAATCCTGACCCAGTGTTCTGTCCCAAACTGTGGCCACCAGCACACATGGGAGAGAAGCATGTCTCCATCAACTGCTCTCCTGCCCCCCAGTCATCTCCCAGGTACTGCTTGCTCTAGATGTAATCTGCACTCCATACCACACCATGGAAATCTTCTCATTTTTCAGTCCCCTATTGAGCACTCATAAAGCTTTAGCACCAGCTTCCCATGCAACATATGGCTTCCTACACACAGAAAACAGCCAAGTGAACATAAAGGCCTGAGCACACAGAGCATGCAAGTCAGGGAACCAAACAATTAGCAGTGTACATCACTCATAACCTTTGCTTTACATACACTTTCAATCCAACCTACTTTTCTACAATATCTTCAGGACCTTTGCTACTATGACCTAAAAAGCTCCAGTGAACCTGTTGTAGTATTTCAAATTAAAAAAATAAAAAAAAATAAAAAAAAATCCATAGGTGCCAAATACATTGATGGACAGAGTTGTATGTGGTCTCAGAAACACACCCACGCTCCACATTATGGAAGACAGCCTAGCAGTGTGCCTGTACACTCCCCTCCAGCATCCAGATGAAACACTACCAGAGCATTTTACTTAGGCCTCCATCAGCTGTTAACACAATAACCTCTCCTATGGGTTTTTAATGTTTGCTATTTCACACAGTACTACCATTGACATAGGAGGTACATTTAGCTATATATCTCTAATGGCATATGACTAAAATGCCTGGAGAAATAAATAATAATAAGCTCTTTTATAGCTTCTTATACTGCCAGATCTCAGATTAATTGAAATTATATGCCTTATGCCTGCTCATCCTCGGGACAGAGATTAAAATGGGAAATGAGCGTTTGTGGCTATGTAGATGAGAATGTAAGGTGGGATTTTTCTGACAGTTTAAGACATTTGGGCACCACTTTGTTTAGCATTGCAAGGGCTGAACCAAGCCCCACTCTTGAAGATGAGTGAGGCTGTTGGGATTTGCACCCCATTCATCCTCCATAAGATGAGCCCATAAGCACCTATGTGACTTTCGAAAGTGCAAATCACTTGAGTTTTGCAATGTTCAGCAGAGTAACTCCTAAATCCCCCTAGGATTAAGTGATTTAAGGGCCTAAGTCCTATTACAGGCTAATAGGAACAGTGTGATGATATAGGAATGCCCAGAGTGGAGGAGCACCTTTTGCCCTTTCCAGAAGGTCACCAAGTGCCACCATGAGGATGGTCAATGAAGGCCACCACCTTCTGTCGGACTGAGAGGTCTGGATAGGTGCAGCACATGGAAACAAGGGAGGGTACGAGAGAAGAGAGGGAACAGGAGACCTCAAGTGGAAGTGAGATGGGGCAATTTAGGTCCTAGGTGGAGCAGGAAGAGTTTCTTTTAAAAGTCTGATACCATACATAGCAACACTGGAAGGCAACCAAGGCTACTGGCAGGATCATGGTGGATTTGAGTGACTGTTTCAAATGCAATTCCAAGCCCAAAATTTCAGGAAATAAATAAATACATAAATAAATAAGTCTTTCATTTTTCAGGTGGAGTTAAAAGGTTTTAAAATGTTTTTGTTTGGTTTGTTTTTTTGGTTTTTTTTTTGTTTGTTTGTTTGTTTTTTTAATTTTAATTTTAGCTGCCTATCTTCCATTTTAAATGAATATTCAAAGACCAAAAGTGAAACAGAGAAATTTTAAATTTTATTCTATTTCATACACTGAAAAAGAAAAACAAAATAAAAATGCTCATTTGAGCATCCCACTCACCTGATGCAATTTCATAAACACCATGTATAGATTAAAGAAAGCAAAAACGTGAAAAATATCTCCTGGTCCAGGGTATTTTTATTATTTTAGGTAGTACAAGACACTGACTCCAGCTAGGGCCTCTACCTATGACTGCGTAAGGTTTGTTAAAAAAAAATCAATGACACTTATATCGCAATTACCAGATTCTCTTCTTCAAAATTCCTGTCTCTTTCTATGTTTAAATTTTCATCTTTCAGGAGGTAAGTAAAGTCTAACAGTTTTCTGGACATCGCTCATGAAAACAGTTCCCAGACTTATGAGTTCATTTTTATGTCACGATAACAGAAGTCTGAGATGTACTTCGCTGCTTTTATTTAGCCTTGGCAAAGAATGTCAGTGGTCCAGAATGAAAGGAGTACTTTGGAACAGCATTATTATAGCTATAATGACCTTTATGCATGCTGTATTCATTTTGTTATGTAGCCTTAGAGTAATCTATACTCATAAAATTTCAGGACTCCTCTGTACTGTCCTCTCTATTAATTGCAATTTGCATCAAAAATAAAATTGCTATGGTCATTAATTTGAATTCCATCGATGTAAAAAAAAAAAAAAAAAAAAAAAAAAAAAAAAGGAGGAGGGGTGTTACAGGAAAGTATTGAAAACATGAAGAGAAACACTTTATTCTAGCAAATATTCTTCTGGCTAATTTAGCTCATGTGGATGTATCAAAGTACTACAATAGCAACTCCACCTACCATATATTTTACACTATGGTCATGCTAATGTGTTTGAATATCATCTTGATGGCTAATGTAAACATAGCATCATCCATGAATTCCAGCAGTCGCTAGTATGAATGTCAGCAGACAACAGGCACTTCACGTAATTAAACAGCCAAGTAGGCAAACCCAGACACAAGAGCCATAAGTTGTCGACAGTCAGCGTGTAAGGCTATACATCATGTCTGATATATGGCATGCCTGATGCTGTGTTGCCATCAGCAAAAGAAAAAAAAAAAAAAAAAAGTTGGATTTTTTGCTGAAGGTTTGGAGGTGTAGGGGGAAGACAGAACGAAATGTTTAAACTTCTTCATTGCTGCTGCTGCTAACAAGGATAGATCATTGGTGATGAAATTGGCAGCCTTCATCTTTCTCCCAGCCTCGTCTTTATAGCGCACCATGGGATCTCCTCTCGAGGGGCTTATCCAGGACAGACTCACAGGACTCACAGGCACCGGTTAGGATGCAAGGGAGCACAGGGCTCCCCGGGTGCTGAGCAGCTGCACTGCTACCACCCACCCTCTTCCCAAATGTTTTTGTCAAGCACAGGAAGTAGGAGAGGACTGCACAAGACAGTTTTTATTTAAGCGAATGCCATTCCTGGGGAGACAGAAAAATCCTGCAGAGCAGTGTAAGGACGGCAGAAGCTCCTTGCAGCAGGCCTGAGCCCACCATACAATAGATGGAGGGACATAAATAATTGAAGAGAATCATTTTGTAATGCACTGACCCCTGAGCATTGCACATCAGTCACGGGGATGCTGCCTCTGCCCAGCCCGCACAGGCCTGCAGCTCACTGTACGCACCATTAATGACCTTTTATGACAATTAACTTTTACTAAGGCATCAGCTACGGATCTGTTGCATTTTTAAAAGGCACCAGCATAGTTCGTGTAGTTGTTTGCCCACACAGATTAGTTTTGTAAAAACAATGATAACGATTTAAACCACTGGTTATGGAAATGGCTATTGAGCTGCCAGGTAGCATTTTCCACCCCGTTCATGGAAAGCATTACAGGGCTGTCAAAAAAGGAGGGTCGAATCCTCTTAAACTTGTAACAGGAGATAATTATGGCAAGTCTGTTGGCAAGTCCTGAGCTGAGTAAGCTCAAGCTAACAGGAAATTGGTTTTGTTTTGTTTTCTAGCCTGGTTCACTATGTTGCATATGCATGGATAGAAGAGAGGTGCATGGATGGAATGGTTTCCCATTCACTAGCAGCACTGTCTGGGACAGGCAGCCACAGTCAGCAGGGCATAATCATGGAACAAGATGGTCTCTGTCCCAAAGGGCACACAGCCAAGCCTGAAAATAAAGCCTTAAGCCTAAAGGCCTAAGTGAAAATAAAACAGAACAACTCTGCTTATGCTAGAGCTTAGAAATTCAGATCACTGTAAATGAATGAGACGTTTCCAGCATTCGTGTGTTCCCTAGTTATCCCAAAGGCTTTTACCCTTCAAGATTTATTTACACACAGGAATGTAAGTGACCACATTAGCAACAGCAACATGGTAGATATTTCTACTGCGTGCTCCATGCCTGGGTCCCGTGGCTCTTTATAAGCATTAGCTGAATAGACATCAGTGCATAATTGGTTTTGTACTAATTTTTCTAGTAAGGAAGCCAAGGCATTGATGGGTAAGTAATTTAGCCAAGGTCGCATACACCTAGGCAAGAGAATGAAGGTTTCAGCTTGCAGTGAATGGTCCCAGTGAGAGGCACACATCCACAAAGAGAGCTTCTGCAAGGGGGCTCTGAAGACATCTTGGAGGAAAAAAAAAGAAAAAAAAAGAAAAAAAAAAATGTCATAACCAGGAAATGGAAACAAACAGCAGACAAAGAGAATTTCTGCTTTTGGGGAAAGCATGATAATGCCATCTGCTGAAATACCTTCCT